GGCTAATGCATCCATGGTCGCAATACAGGAAGTGTTTGAAGACAGAATTGTCAGTAGAGGACTGTGGCCTCCCAGATCCCCAGATCTCAGTATTTCTGATTATTATCTTTGGGGCAACCTGAAGCAAAAAGTCTACAAAAATAATCCCCGCAGCATTGATAGTCTTCAAAATGAAATTACACGCGTAATTCATTCAATTACCGTCGACGAACTGCAGAGAGTGTCGCGTAATTTATTTGTGAGATGCGCGGCATGTTTGCAAGCAGAAGGAGGTCACTTTCAGCACCTGTTATAAACCACGGTAAGTTATCTTTTTACTGTATTCTTATAAATGTGTGCATGTAGAGCAACTGATGGACGGAGACTCAGCGACACCACTACACTCACGCTATTGGGGAACGGCACTGCAGTCGCGGGGAGGAGTTGCATCCGTTCTGCGGTGGTATGACTCACGGCAAATTGCAGCCGCGGCGCGCACTTGATTGTACGCACTGTACATGCACATATAACATTAAAAAATAGACATTAAGATTTTTTGTAGTTGTCATTTTTATAGCTTCCTACACTGGTAATGGTTAGAGCAATTACAGATTTGAAATCTTCATGTTGTAGGGGGGAGGGTGTTTTACTCCCTGTCTAGAAGGCAGTGTTGGGGCAGGAAGTGAACTTATAATGAAGTACAGGTGGACAGTTAGAAAACAAAGAATGTGATCACACAACCAGCAGGAAACATACACTTCAGCAAAGAGACTGTACAGCCACAGGTGTTTTCTGGTATATTTCCATTACCATTCAGACATTACTCCACAACAAATAAGTGTTGTAATATTGTGTATGCTTGTATTTATACCAACCAGTTGTCAGTATGATCATTTATGCGAGTATTTTCTTTTGGTAGTGTCCCCTGCCTGCATAAAGAATATAAACACTGTTTCAGAAGCTGGGTCTGTCGGGTAAAAGGAAAGAGTACCTAACTGTGAGGCCGGGTAGGGAGACTTATTCATTATTACTTGACGATGGACACCATAAAAACAAAATTGCTCACAGTTATTGTCCAAGACCTTTAGAACAATATTATATTATTACATGACAAAAAAAAATTCATTTAGGCAAAACATCAATATACTTGTAAAAAACATAAAGAATGTATGAACCCTGACTTCCCTTCTTTCTAAGAATAAAACAAAATAGTCTGCAAAAGTTTTCCTTACCGTCTTCTGTTATAAGTGGATTGAAGATATCACATGGGACAGGTTGTATATTGTTCAGATCCCACACTTCAATCCCTTCAGCACTACCTGCTGCCATAGCTGCTCCCAAAGCAGTTGTCTCTGCCATCAGTGGTCTCACTGTCAACACATTTCATGGATGTCTTATAGAAAGATGATATATGTACCAGCAACAATGAGGGACATGTGATAAAAACAGAACAAGCTGCAAAAAATCTATGTTTACATGAATGTTTGCATATTGGGTGTAAATGTGCTCTGTGGGCTTCTCAATCTGAACAAAATGCAGTGAAACATGGTCAATTCAGAGTGCCTGGGGCCAAAATATTCAAACCTTAAATTATATCAATTCTAATTTCTTCATGAACTCTCTAGCTCATTATACAAGTTGATATCAGCGACATCGGCATCATAATAAATACTAAATACTAGTTATAAAATAAGGAGAAATATAGTTTTCATTACAAATACATAATTTCTGTACACTGAAATCATACATTTGGCTTGAACTTTAAAGCACTAGCAACACAACTGGCTACTAATAATGTTATGTCATTGTTTATGAAAATATATACAATGGCTTCTACTTTTTACAAATAATGACAGATCAAGTATTTATAAATGCACACTTCATGCATTGAATTAAACACCACAATAAAATTTTATAATTTAGCACCCTGTTTCATTAGCATTGCTTTTTGTACAAATGTGTACCCATCATCTTCAATGCAACACTTGTTTTCGTCTTTCATATATCTTACTACAATACAATTCAGCCTCACCTGGCCATCATCAGGTGTATACACCCTTGCTAAAATTGCTGCACCGACACCTTAGTATGTTCACATGGCGTATACAAAGGGAAAAGATAAAAAACTCGGAAACCCAATTTTCAAGTTTTCATACTATTCCAGTCTTCTACATCATTTTCTGTTTCAAAGTCACAACAATGCTTCTTTGCTTTAGTTCTTGAATGGGAGTCTTCTTAGGTGATAGATGATGGATGGGTGAAAGGTTCAGAATATACTGTAACACAATCACAGATAGTCAACTACCCTCTATTGTAATCAAGGATCATTATGGCTGCAATGGCATCTGCATTAGGGAGGCAAGCAGTGCTTGTAGTGACAGCTGGGAGAACTACTGCATGGCATGTGAACATACATACATTACAACTTTGATTTTTAAGCAACTTTATGAAAATGGTAAAGTTTCTTTCATATTTCTGCTGACAGCATGAGAATTTCAGATGCTTGGATATTAGATAATTGAGGCTTTACTATAATGATACCTCTCTTGACCATAACAACACTTACTGACAGAAATGCCAACCAAGTCAGCCTGTGTTTGCATAAGTAAATTGTTAGCTGTCATGCCACCATCCACTTGCAGTCTGGTTAGCTGTAAGCCACAATCCTTACTCATGGCCTCCAGAACATCACGTATTTGAAAGCACACTGCTTCAAGAGCGGCCCGGATAATGTGGCATTTTGTTGTTTCATCTGTGATACCACAGATTACACTGTTAACAGAATATATGCATTAGCTGAATCATACTTTTTATATAATCTACATACTTATTATATTGGGCAAGAAAGGAAGAGAACTAGTCCATAAACACTAACTGAATTATGAGTTATTACTGTGAATGTTAAACTGAGTATGTTATAAAAGAAGGGACACTTAACAGGCCAAAGTCTTGGAAAGGTGTTGATCAAAGAAAACACCAGATATTTTATTGAAATAGCAAAATTCATCAGACAATGGAGAAAAATGGAATTACAATGGGAACAATATGTCAACTAATTTTAGCTGGTCCAGTCAGGTGCGAAGTACTGTACAAAATTCAATATAACTTTCAAGTTAACATATAGAATTTAAAATAGTATCCATATGCAAAACATTTGACAGTGGTCTGAAACAAGGATAAACCTTATGGTTATTGTTTTCAACTTTGTTTTAGAATATGCTGTTAGGGACTGAAATGGAAGAGGCCACATCAACTTCAGGTTATGCTGATAATGTTACTTTACTGGGTTAAAATATTGTGACATGATGCCTAAAAGCTGGAATACTGCAGCCAGAGAAGAATTCCATTGCTATGCAAATGCTTGATAAACATATCCCCGAGCGTTATGCTGTCAACGAGAATAGACATCTGTTGCTGGACAACAGGTTTCTTTACCACAGTATTACAACTACTGACATAAACAGCAGTACTGGTGATTTCTATACAGGTCTCCCAAAGTTATAACAAGTAGTGAATTCAAGGAGCAGAGATCCAGAATTGAAGAGACTGAAGACCAGCCTGAGATTCAGACAACAGTGAGAAATTCATCTAGAGATTCATCAACCAGATATCGTTTGGAAGGATCTCAATGTGTAAGCTGTTATAATCCAGTGTAATTGCAATAGAGACAACCAATAAATCCAATCATCAAATCTAGAACCCATAATTATTTGTCATGCTAACCCCTAATGTGACAATATAAATGACATAAGAAAAAACAAATAATCTTTATTAGCTGCTACTAGGGAGAGTGATCTAAAAGTAAACACAGAGAAAACTAAGTATACAGTATGTCTCATCATCCAATTGTTAGACAAAACCATAACATAAAGACAGATAACAGATCATTTGAAAACGTCACAAAGTTAAAATATTTTGGTATGACAGTAAAAAATCAAAATTGCATTCACAAAAAAATTAAGAGCAAATACAGTACAATACCTCAAGAGGGTTACTAGAAGATTACTAGAGAGACAGAAGTCAGAAGTGAAGTGTTTATTTTATGTGGTGTAGTTATAGTAACCTTTAGGGCAGTGTTTCTCAACCGCCAGGCTGCAGCCCGGTACTGGGCCCTGGAATCAATTATACCGGGCCCTCATCTAATAAAAGAATTTACCGGGGCCACAGTCTCACAGAGGTTGAGAACCACTACTTTAGAGTGTTATCACTACTCACACTTATAAAGTGTTACAGTTGCAGTAAGATTGTGTTACAACTAATTGTAGTCCCACCTGGTGAATATCCAATAAATTGATTCATCTAATCTGGAACCCATTAATTACTTGTCATATTACCAGGATATGTGACAGTATTTTTATTCCCATGTTAATTACACTTTTTTTTACAATGAGCAGTGTTGCATAATTGGACATTGTGTTATGCTTATGAACATCAGAATACTAAGTCATATAGATCTCAAATATGTATAATGACGTTACAGTTAAAATCTTAAAATCACCAAACAAACTTCTACAAGACACCCTGTTATTAACTCTTTTAGTAAGTTTTAGATCTTCTTTTCTCTATTTTAAATACTACAGTACTGTCATTTCCTACCCCCCAAAATATAATACCATATTTTAGTAGAGTTCTACATTTTGTAAAATAAACATTTCTTAATACAGGTACACTTACTGAGTCACATATAGATTTAATCAGATGACAAAAGTATTGTATATGAGTGGCCAAGCTTAAGTTTTCTATGATATAAATACTCCAGCATAACATATAGTTCTCAAGAGCTAAAGGATCCCGACGATGGAGAATAGATATTAAAACTAAAATTCTGGACTGTATCCATCGTCCCAGTCAGTTGAACCACGACGTTTCGGAAGCTGGATCTGCTACCGTCCTCAAGTGAGTAAAATGGAGATAAAAAGGAATAAAAATTGGGAAAGAATTAAAAGGTGAGGAGGGTTCTTATGTAACCTATACAGTTGGGTCCCTTAGATCAAGCTAATCTCAATCACTGGACAAACTGGCAGGGGACGAAATCAAGGGTGATCAATTCATAGTGGGAAGTTGTCAATGGGAGATAAAAAGACGAATCAAGATAAAAAATTATTGAAAGACCCAAATCGTCTGGGACAGGGAGCAAAGAAAGAAATGAAATATTCTACAGGAATATAGAGTGAAGGAGAAAAGGAAAAAAAGAGGAAAAAAAGGGGGGGAAAAAACTTAGGGAGTTCTAATCACCCCTCTTCTTGCTGTTATGAATGCCATTCATTTCCTCAAACACCAGGGGTGACCAAATGATGGAGAAATCCAAGCTGGGTTGGCTAATCGTGTTGCCGGCCCAAGCCATATATGCTGCCTCCTTGTATTTCCTGACGGTAGCGTTCCTCTCGAGGTCCAGGATCCCCGTTCCATCCCACTTCACAGAATGGTCCTCCTCGTAGGCGTG